TCTCTCACACACACACACACACACACACACACACACACGGGCGCCCTATACTTGGCAACTGCTTAAATGAATCGTTCAATTGGTGTAACTGGAGTGTTGAACTGAAATTTTGAATGATTGTTTTTGAGAATGGTTGTTTTTGAGAATGGTAAGTTGTTACTTTTCACAACGTTCAACTGTTACTAAGAGCCGATCCTTACTGACAGATGCTGTCGTTTCAAATATTTTCACTTCCAGGATCAAGAACATGGACGGATTGATCCTTGAGGGAGAAGAGGAGGAGGAGGAGGAGAAAGAGGAGGGGTGCGCCCCGATGACGACAGAGTGAGTAATGGGTGAGAAAGGACAGCAGAGGATCATCTGAAGAACAATTAAATCAATCAATTGAGATGAGAAGGTAGATAGCTCAATGACAGGGGCGCAGAAGCCAGGAACAGAGAGAGAGAACGAGGGAGAGGGTCCGCGGGGAGGGGTAGGGGAGAGAGAGAGAGAGAGAGAACATAAGGAGTAATGAACAGAAAGACTGACCGCGACGGAAACCATACAGACGAACAAATGAACGAGCGATCGCTACAGTGATCGAGAAACATAAAATTGTTGCTTCGATTAAAGAGAAGATACAGGTCGGGATCCTTCCGCTTTAGCTCCTCGTGCATTTGCACGTAGGGCGTCCCAAAGGAGTACACGTTCGGTTCACGAATGCTGGGCCCTGGCAACTTCACGTGCGTGGCAGTTCCGTAAGACGCCACGTCAAATCCTTGTTTCTTCAACAGGGCATGCGCCTCCATACTCCGATTCTGATTGGATGCGCAAACCATGGCAAACCGGAGTCGCATCCTCGCTGCCCTCTCTCCCACCGTCGCGACACCCCCCTCTTCCTCCTCCCCCCCCCCCCCCGCCGCCCCGTTGTTTCTCCCCCTCCAAACATAATGGAAATTTATTCACACAGTAGAACGAAGAAAATGCAGGCATACAGCCCCCTTCCCCTGGCTCCCCCCCCCCCCCCCCCTCTTCGTTCTCTCTCTCTCTCTCTCTCTCTCTCTCTCTCTC